AAGACGAAAATACAACAAATTTTAAAATGTCATTGAAAGTCAAGGAAAATCATGAAATTTTGTCTGTAAATCAAGGAAAATATATGAAATTTTAGGATGAGGAATTTGTGACAATCCTAAATGTTTTTAATATTTAAACATTTTCTGTGAAAATTCTTTTGTTGGAATATTCAGCACATTGAGAATACAGATCGATCTTTTCATGAATAATTAACGTTAGTTAAGTAACATTCGGAGAATTTTGATGATTAAAATAACTTTATGCCTGAATGAATGTACGTTTATAAACTCCGGTCATTCTTAACTTTCGGTTCTCACGTTTCGACTTCCGATTCGAATTCTTAATGTTGCGAACGCTTAATTTACAATCTTGAATCTTTAGTTTTTGACTTACATTCGATATCGTCGAACGTGAGTGGCATGAGCAACGATAGAAAACGTAAATAGCGGATGACATAATGTAAGACAAAGAGATTGTCTTACATTACATCCTCTTCTTTTTTATACGATGTGGATAACTTTCATTAGTTACTATACAATACATAACGTCGACGAAACTGTTTTATGGAACACGCCACGATCTGCCAGCATGAACTATCTATTGCACGCGGAACTTGTTATCTAGTAACGCAAAATAAACGGGACATTCTGCGCGATATATCGGCGCACCGAGGTATTGTCGAAGACGCTTGACCGTAGCATTCACATTTAGATATTCAAAAGGAAGCTCGCTTGAATAGTTAACAGTAAGATATCGCCATGTTTTCTTAATTCTATACGGATTCGCGTCGCGCGAGATTCTCGCAGATACTTTGATCGACGATGGACCAGGCGACGCCTCGGACGATGCTCTAAAGTCGCATCGGAGAGAGAGACGAGGAACGACATAATGCAACGGACATGTATCTAGCTCGGTGACGGGGAACACAGTCGCCTTATACAGTTCCGGGTGACCGAGTTTCCTGAACGACGAGAATTCCTCGCGCGTTCGTGCACGTGCTCGAGTCCGAGTCTGATGGTCTCCCAACCATTTGTAGCTAATAAAAGTCATTTTCCGTCTAACCATCCAATTAATCTAAGAATGTTCAAGCATGATTATTTAAAAAAAAATAACATGATAATATCTAGCCTGTATATAATCAATTAAGACTATAACTTTATGATACTTTGCGTCTCAATTATTTTTATAATATATAATTGTGTATATGATAGAATTCTATTGCTTACAGAGTTAATTCTTGAAGAGAATTTAAAAAATAAAGCTATCGAAACGAGTTTTTTTTTATTAATTCTTTTTAATCCATTTATTTGAGAGACTATAGAACTGATTTGAGATGTGTGACTTCATGTGGGAGCGGCAGGCATAATTGGCGAATTTCAAGTTCAATCTTTCATCCCACATACTGATTTTAAATTCATAATGCGGCTGCGTAAGCGACTTCCAAGTTGAAGGTTATTACATATATAGCTGACAATCGCATTAATAAATGAAATGTTTATTGTTGCGAATGTTCATAAACAGGAAATCAGACCGAATATTTTGGAATAAGCCAAGACTCATTCAGGATTGTGGAGTCAAAATCGATTTTATTTCTATAATGTATTTATAGTTTCGCGTCACACACATGGATCCCGCCGTTTAAAATCCTGTTCTTTTCGTGTCCTCGGTACCAACCCTATTGTTGTTACGAAGTCGAGTCACGAGCCCGCGCTCGCGAATTCTCATTACCATTCGTATCTGCGAGGTACTATCGCTGCATCAGGACCCAACCTAGTTCCTATTTCCCATTGTGCCTGTCTATATCTATGTATATAGGTGTCTACGGGATTGTGTCGCGACCCTGCGAGTTTTCCTTAGATTCACTCATCGATCGACCGCTCCATTCTGGGAGAGAAACGACATGTGCAGAAGATACTGAGACACTCGGGTTTAATTCAAGCATCTTTAACTCTAGAATGCTATCGATACATAAATTTTACGTACAAGTAAGTGGAATAACATTGAGCACTAAGTTACACGTGGAAAGAACTTTGCTGAAATATCTAAAAATTTAACTGGATACAAATCTGAAAATAAATTTGTCATACTATCAGAATAATTATATAGGATGCTCAAACTAATCATTATACAATGTCAAAAATTTTTGCAATATTGTTCATTGCACGTGTTTGAGTTTTCTATTGTACGTAATTATTTTGATAACCAATTTATGTACAGATATCTACTTAAATTTTTGACACTTTAGTAAAATCGTTCGTGTTGTTTCAGTCATTTAAGAGGTCCAATCTGTCATGTTAAAAACTGAGATAAGCGAAGACAAGCTTTTAAAAATGTTGTCCCTTATCAGTTTATACTCCCTGATGGTCAGAATTATAAGAGAGAGTGATAAATAATTTCAATTTTTGAATAGTTTTATATTATTATTGTGTTATTGTATATTTTATTTAAGTTTTTTGGAGACACGCAGTTGGACATATTCCATACCATTTCAAGACTGATTTTAATATAGTATATTTATTCTTTCTTTCTTCTTAAATTAATTAGATTATTTGTGTTTCTATATATAAAAAAGTTTAGATTATTTAGATTAATTAATTAGATTAATTAATTAGATTATTTTATCATTAAAAGTGAAAAATGTATGAAATACTTGAATTACATTAATTAAGAATGGCCTACTTTCTTGTACGTAAAATTTACATACTGATAGTAATATTATATATCACTCTCTCTCTCTCTCTCTCTCTCTCTCTCTCTCTCTCAATAGCGATAGCATTCTAGGGTTAAATGAAGCATGGATTTCTATATTTGAATATTTCAAATATTCGTTAGTATCGAAGATGTTACTACTATAATCTAAGAGTCGCGTCCTTAATATTCTTTTATAGATCTTCAGCTATCAAATTTGTCGTTTCTCCAATGTAGTTGCCGACACGCTCCACTTCGATAACTTCGATGAATAATAAAAATAAGTCACGTACACGAAGAGACGAAGTGAAAATCGCAAAGAAGTTTTCCAAGAAAAAAAAATACTTGCCTACTCTTGCTTGCGTATCCGGTGAAATTCAATTGCTCCGGTATGTATCTTCGGTACGATAATATATAATCGGATAACGATCACAGTACGCTACTATGTTCGTTTGTATCCTAAAACGGGAGATCTAACGGATCGGAACAGGAGGCGGTAATAGATAACGGCCGATGGTGAGTGCAGATGCGCTTACTCTATCATCTACCGTATGGCTGTATTCGCGCATGAATTGCTAAGGGATAATGAATACGGAAAAGAGATGGCAATAAATAATATGCGGCTAGTAATAGATAACAGCTAATGGTAAGCACAGACTCGGATTAACGTATATAATTAACATACATGTTAAGTTAAATGAAGAGAATAGGAATGGAAGTGCAGGGAAGATTACATAATTTGTCAAGGCAAATAAGGGTTCTTGTTTGGATCTCTGCAAAATGACGGGTGCGAGAGATATAAGTGATAGGGACAATAATTAATGGTAGCTAATAATGAGAAAGACTCAGATTAACGAGCATGATCAACTTCCACATTGAAGTTGATCAAAGCGAATGGAAATGTGAAAAGTCTCCTTCGCAGAAGAGATTTTTAACAATTTGCCTAATCTAAAGACAAACAAAACGATTGATCGGCTCGTTTCCAGAGAAAGTTAGAATTCATCAAGTATTTATCAGAAAATTTCGCGAGGTCTCCTCTCGATGGAATCGATATTGGAAAGTTTTATTACCCGGAAAAGTGGAACGTATGTCCTTGATCTGTGCACTTTAGTTACCTGCGGCAACAATCGAAACTAAAGCGATTTTATAGTCACGCATAAGTCGACCTATCGTGAGAGTATTGCGACCTGACTGTTTCTCGCACGATCCACTACGTCGTACAAATCAACGATCCCTGACGTGCGGCTTTCAAAGTGCCGCCCTTTTTCTTTCAGAAAATCACAAGACGAGAATTAAAATAAAAATCTCGCGGGACGATGAATCAGCCGTTCCGACTTAAACCGATTTCATTGTCTTTCCAGTCGCCAATCTTGCGATCTTGCTATTAAAACGTCGTCCTTGAGCGTTGCGCGCTACTGATAAATGATTTACTGCACGATCACTGCCGTAGTAAATTTGCTTCTTCAAACAGGCTTCTTCGACCGACCAAACCGGCTCGCTGATCGTCATTCGATACATGGACGAATCACCGTTGTGTCTGGTACACTTACGAGCGATTACTACAATCACGTTGTCGATCGATCGTGTCGAATAGCTGCTTTCGCGAGTTGCATACAGATTTTCAACTATCGATGTAATTCGGACTTTATAAACTTCATCGCAAACTTACTCAATTTATTCAATTTTTTTGTTTTTTAATTATATAGTAAATAATATAATTATGTAATAATAACATAATAAAACAATAATAAGTGGAAAATGGACCAATAAGTACATAACAAATGAAACAGAAAGAATCTTATATTCGGTCAAAGCGGATCTAGATGCATAATATTTTTATATGTAAATTTTTAAATGCATTTTCAGTTCTATAGTCTGTGCGCTAATTCGGTTTGTCGAACTTAAAACACAAACACAAACTGAAGCCGAAAATAATATTAGGTCATTTAAAAAGTATCCGCGATTTTTTCATTCAAAAATTGAAAAAACCGCGGATACTTTTTAAATGATCCAATATATTGATCATCAATTTAATAATGATGTTAATAAGCATCTTAAAATATTACAAATTCATTGAGGAAAAAGTAAAAAATGATAAGATATGATATATAATAATTTTCAATTTGCGTTAGGGCTAAATAAGTATACTCGTAAATAGCGGGCTATTCTTTTTGTTACAACCTATTACTTCATCGGGCCACTTGAATGTCATTGAGAGATACTTGTAGCTTATACCGAGGGATATTCATGCGTGCGTGCGAATTATCGTTGACGCGACGGCTAAGCTAATTTTGTAATCTTCGAATTTCAGATGTGGATCATATAACGGGTGACAATTTCTTTGACGTGCTTGATAATGGAGTAATTGTATGTCGACTGGCAAGAGTTATCCAGGAAAAGGCGAGATCTGCGATTGAGGCTGGACGGGCGAAGGGAGTAAGTTATTAGAAATCATCTAGTATCTCAATTTATAGATTTTGCATTAACATGATGTGTTCCCGGCGGACAATAATTTTTTTTCTGAAATTATCGTATTATATACAATGACATTTAATTATTAAAAATACGCCGTGATATTATCACTGAAAAAATTTTGGTAATATTAATCATATTTGTATAGTAAATAGTTAACATTACTATATTTTCTTAGTTCATATAATTTATTTATATGTGAACTATATGTTCTTATTACAACTTTATAATACATAATTGAGGCGTTATTTTTCCTTAAATTTCTAATTGCTGATACGACTTTTTTCTCTGTGTATATTGACTGAACATTGGATTGAAATTATTTCATCAAGCTTTATGTATAGCAATTATCATCTAGGCTTGATTATTACTGAGATTTTTTTCAATGTACCAAGCGAATTTTGTAATTGAGAATATTTTTGTTTTGACAAAAACAATAATAAATATTTGAAGAAAAGGAAGTTTTGTTCGCAGAAATATAGAGAAATGTTGTTGTAGCCGGCACCAGTAATACGTGGTCGCTGCTGGGAGAATGCAGCCCGTCGCAGCTTCTTTTCCCGTGACAACATGGAGAACTTCATACAATTTTGTCGGCGGCTGGGCGTCCACGAGAATCTTCTCTTCGAAAGCGACGATCTCGGTAAAGCTTGGCGCAATTAATTTTAATGTATGCGAATTAAGCAGGGGCGGGCTATGCATTCGCTCTATCGGACGACTTTCAACGAGATGGGATTTAAGTGCGCACTCGATTAAGTTGATGAGCGGCGATTAGCGGAAACACTGTAATTGACTCGCACAATCTCGTGGCGGACACGCGTGTAGGAAGACTAGGAACGTGTGCCGTATAAATTATGATCCGGCATAAAACGAAGTATGCAAATCGGTTTGATTGTGACGGGAAGTGAGAGTGATTGCCACATGGATCGCGCGCGATTCCGAAGAAAGTGGAGCGAATCTGCAGCTCTTCGAAGATCGGCGGGACTTTCTCCGTTTAATCAAGTTTAATTACTGTTGGAAATAAACAATGCGGTTACATAAAATTATGTAACGATGCAATCGACCGTGACAGAAAGCCGCTACGGAAGCCTTGAGAAAAACGTCTTATTGTACGTAAATAGCATTGACCTGAATAAAATCGAGTTCGCCATGATAAAATATAAGTAATAAATGAATCTCAATCCGTAAAATGACACAGTTTGTCATTTGTATATATAACGAGCGTAAATAATGTAATCAAAAGTTCGTATAATAGAATCTGATCACGAACGATTTTATCAAAATCCTATGCGAAAGATACATATGTATTATCTCACTCTAACTTATATTATTACACTTTGTAACTTTAATTAAGGTTATACAGAGATAATACAAATTATAGTGAGATAGTATATAGAGAGACAGTATATACACTGTTGCATTAATTGGAATTTTAATTGAAAATGAACAAATCAGAATTTTCTGATTGAATCTATTATAATTCTAGTTGACATAACCAGAATTCTGATTGAACTGATCATAATCTTCTGATTTGTTCATTTTCAATTAAAAACATTTTCAATCAGAAATTTTTCTCAATGTACCTATATCTTTCTCTCTCGTAGGATTTTGACAAAATCACTCATGACTAGGATTTTTAGTGTGATCCTTTTTTTTTATAGTTTTGCATGGCCAACCACGAAATGTTGTGCTGTGTCTGCTGGAAGTCGCGAGACTGGCGGCCAGATATTCTCTAGAACCGCCTGGACTGGTGCAACTCGAGAGGGAAATTGCAGCTGAACAAGAAAGGGATCTTCACTGTTTGTCTGACAGCGGTATATCACATAGTAGTCTCGTCTCTTGGCAGTTCCAGTCACCATCGCCGACCGCAACACCCAGGACACCATCGCCGGAAAAGATCAAACATAGCAGGTAAGTCATCATTTTCAAGAATCGATTCACACTTTACTTTTATCGATAAATGCATACAAATGTATCGCTCCCTTACTTAAAAAATGATATAACTTAAAAAACGTGATTTTCTGAATATAACGTGAAAAGTTATTATCATGAATGATTTAATAAGTATTACTCTATTAATCATCAAAAATCAATTAACTCAACTTTACAAAAAATTATCAAAATCATTATAATTCAAAAAAGATTTAAAAAAAAAATCGTCAAAATCGTTATTTAACAAGAATTATTTTTAAAGATTGTGAAATAAAAATTACAAAATTACATTTGATCATATTAAGAATATATTTTTTTTGTTAATATTATTTGATTAGTTCATAATTTTTTGTCAAGTTTTGGAACATGGTTTTTCCCCTCTTCTGGAAAATTTAATTTTTTTAGGTGTAATTTTTGAAGTAAGTGTAACGATATAGTTTTACGTTGCATATACTATCTCTATAGAATATATAGAATCTCAGAAATAGAATTTATTGATAAAAGTGAGATATGAATAGGGAGTATTTTGATAAACGAGAATGCATAGGTGTAAAATTTTGTTTAGGAAGGAGCCAAATTAGGATTAAGATTTTTAAACTGGGAAAAAAAGGAGAATAATATAGATTGTTGGATTTATTTTGTTTTACATTAATATTTTTAATTAATTACTAGCTGGTAAATCACAAAATCACACATATTTAATGTGTGACAACATATTGACTAACCTACTTTATTTTTTTTAATTGTAAATTGATTTTCTTTGAATTGGAAAAATTATTTATAACATTAACTGTCTTAGATTCTCAGAAAACCTTCCTTTAACTTTTACTTTCAATTCTTTCCTCTTTTCTAAAATTATTTTTGTATGAATTAAGCATAATCCGTTTAAACGGTTTTAATTATTTCTATTCTTTAAGATTTAAGAAAACTATTCGGTCTCCTCTGCCCCCCTTGACTACGCTCATGAGAATGTGTCTCACGAACTATCGGTTGCCTAATCTTGTAATCTATCTTGCACACAATATTCCTCAATGCGTTACCTGCAACGTAACGGTCGATAAGCGATGATGTTGTGAGAAGAAACCGAAACTTAACCGTTACGGAATGTATAAGTTATTCGTTCGTATAATTTCTGTTTCACTTACCTGCATCGCATTCAAAACAACGCCCAGAACTCTGATATATTCCGGCTCGTTTACGACGAAAGATTTCCCCATCGGGTTAACAGTCACTGACTGAATGGGCAATTCTGCGTGGTGTTATTGAGAAGGAAACCTCGAGTCGCGCAACTAGGAGTGGTTGAATTTTATAGCATATGTAAAGTTTCTGGTGTGTGTGTGTGTCGGAGCCATTGTGTTATTCTGTAGATAGTTGAATGGTACCGTTCGCTTTATTGAATTGTTTAGATAATTGTTTTTATTCGGACAGTTCGATAAATCACAAAGATATATAAAGCCCAATCTACAATGTGCTCTTGCTTTCTGCTTCTTGTCTTTTTCTCTCTTTGCGATCGTTTCAAGGTATTTGAATGAAATCTTGTACGATGAATCTCTGAGAATTTTTTTATTTTCCAGGTATTTTTATTTAAAATTCCAAATAAGATAATATTAGAAATTTTTTTAATCGAACTTTGAAATAAATTAGAATGCAAACAACGCGAATAAACTATATATTGAAAATTATATTAGGTGTTGGAATTAATTCGTAGCGTTTTTTAATGAAAGAATGTTATTTATTTCACATGAGCATTAAAAAATACATTAATGAAAGTACTTCCCATCACTTGTAAAACGCTACGAATTAATTCCAACACCTAATAGTAAAAGACAGGGATTTCACAAGATTATATTTATCACTTTCTATAATTGAAACCGAAAAACGCGAAATTTATAAGTGTAGTATAAGAAAGGCAGATTTTTCTAAGTACTATCACACTCTGGGTTTTATCGATAATCGTGTTTTTTGTCGCATACTTATTTTTCGTCTCTTTCGAAGTTAGTTCACTTTTATCTGGAACGACAGAAAATAAAGAAATAGAATAAGAAACAAAAAGGCATAGATAAGTAAAGTAAAAAGCAAGAAACAGATAGCAAAGAGCACATTGTAGATTAGAAGAAAGTTAATTTCTCTCGCTAACCCGTTCGACATGTAATATTTTGCGAAAGCGTTGGAGAATTAAACATAAATCAATTCAACGTAAATCTCGATGTAATTCTAGCTCGGCGTCTGAAGTCACAACGGGCACACGATGGTTGGATCCGGTAACCGGTGCTGCACATGAATCTGAAATGCGAAGGTCCGTTAGCGACAACGGACCGACTGGAAGTGATGGGGTGCCCAGCGACACTACCGAGGATGATTGGTCGCGCGGTAGCGTCGAAGATCCTGATGAAGTGCCGTCGCCGTCGAGTTCGCCATCACCGTCGTCGGCTGAACCACCGGAACACACTGGGCCGATAACAGAACTCGATCGCAAGGTATCAGAATGCCCCATTTTCACTTACAATGCAATCCCAATAATAGATTCTTCGGTAAGTTTCGAATGCATTCTGCACTGATATAATACAAAAGTTCATGATGATGATGATATCGAATGTCGAGAATATCTCTATGAGAATATCTATATGAATTTCATTTAACAGTTTCCAACAAAATTTGTATTACCGAAGAAACACTTTTTTGCTGGATACGAAACGATTTTGAAACATTAAAATAATAATGTGCAGTGCAGAGGAAGCTGCCCACTTCCGTGTCGCACGAAGAAATGCATATGCGGAAGATTGAATAATTTATATTCTTTCTATTAATGTTAATGTTCTTCACCGATTTATTCTACGCACGCGTTGTTTTAGTCGTATCTTCGCATGTCGTTGAGAAAACCTTAGTCCTACGTGTTATTACAGACGTTGCGCTTGCATTATAATCATTATATCGTACGAGAGGGAAGAAAGGTGTACGGATGATGGGAATCGGTGTTTTCTCGTATATGTTTTCCATGCATGCATCTACACGCCCGTGTCGGATTCCTGCGTGCCTAGCGGCGGAAGTTACGCGCTGCGGCGGCGTATCTTCGGCCCTTTGCTCCTCGCTGCGACGACACGTCGAAGCGATTTATCTCGCGTGACAGTCGATCATTCTTCGTTCGTTCGACAATACGAAGGTGGGCGGCCCGATGCACAAAAAACGTCCGTAAATATATACCCGGTATCCTTTCGTTTTGCGCACCTCTCTCAGTATCTCCAGCATCGCGTGCCTCCGTTTACAGGTGCGAAGAGCCACCGAGGCCGTCCAGAGACTCTGCCAGTGCCCGTCGAATAAGTGCTCCAAGCTGAAGGTGCGCAAAGTCGGCGAAGGTCGCTACCATATCGCGGGACGTAACGTTTTTATCAGAGTAAGTACAATCTATTTTTATATACATATTGTATATAGTGTATAAAACTCATTATTTCTTTTGTAAAGTTAAAATTAAAATCGATATTATATCGTTGCGTTAATGGAAAAGTGATATATTTCACAAATTAGTAACTTTCTAATAGAGTGTTGAGTAGAGTATTTTTTAAATTCTGAATTGGAACATTTTAATTAAGATAGTGAATATGCATATCTTCACTTTCTTTCATATTATACTTTCAATTGTGTATATTCATTCAATTATACATGGAGAAAAGTTTTGATTTTAGAGAAAGACTATAAATAGATTATTATAGTAATGACAATCATTTTTACATAATAATAACTGTTAATTGTAGTCATTTTCGGTGCCAATTATATTTGTCGATAACACTGTATTATTATTATTAACAATATAGCAATAATAACCATGATAATTAGAGTAACATATTAGTATAATTACAAAAAATCGAACAACTTTTCTCTCAGTGTATTCTTTAAAACTATGTCAAGAGTTTTCAAAATTTGAACATTACATCCCTAACGTTTATTAGAACTTTTCTCTCAACATATGTTAAATATGTTAAATATTAAAATTCTACATGGGAAGAATTGTTTTGCTAAAATCGTTAAAATAATCATACAGAACACTCAAGCTTGTTGCTAGAATGTCAACTTTTTGCAGCATTGTTCAATACGTTTGAGCATCCTACATTATTTTGATAGTTTAACAAAATTATTTTGTCTGTGTGAAGACGAGTTGTTTTCATACAATATTTTGAATTGTTCCTCAAAGCCATGTCCCATATGATTCAAAAGCTCCTTTCCTCGAAGCTTGAGATCTCTTCCTTTTTCTTTATTATTTCTGTTATCATCGCGGTGACCATGCCAGCCACTAATGATCACGCTGCTGACGTGTTCGCAGCTTCTCAAGGGAAGACACATGATGGTGAGAGTTGGCGGCGGGTGGGACACTCTGGAGCATTTTCTGGCGAGGCACGATCCCTGTCAGGTGAGGGTCCTCAACCGTGAGGGTACGCCGCCACCCGCTCGCGGTACCAAGCACGATAGCTTCTTGCACATTCGCGCCAAGTATCGCAGTCCGCCGTCGGAGGCGAGCCTCTCACGTCGGTCACTAGCCTGAGAAGCACGTAGTGCCTAATCATGGGGCCCCTCAGGCCCCACGTGGCGTAAAGCTGCACGCACGCTTGGCGCACGTGCGAATTAAAATATATCCCGGTAGTCCCGGTACACTAGCGGTACCGCTATCACATCCCACCGGGCACGTCGATAGGACGTCCCGTCGGTCTGTTACGCATCAAGCGACGCGGTGAAACGACGCGTGGCGGTTCAGGTTGTCGTAAGGACGGCAATACGCATCCATCGCACGATTTTTCACGCACGATACATTCCTTCTTTTCCAACTACGTTCGATGAGTTGGCGACTTTGAGGGAAGAGAGAGGCATCGCAGGAGCCGCCTTTAAACGCCTTGCAATCACTTATGCACATTCCCGATATTCATAACGCTATTTACGAGTTCTCTCTACGGCGAGAAATCGCCGGTACACGCACCGCCTATACGCCGGTTCGCAAAGATACCTCTTAACCACTTCGTACCTATTCGTATATCCCGAATTGCGCGTACAACTTGTTACGTGTAACCACGTAATATGTTGATCACGGTATAGAGAAGCACAGGGATCGCTATTTTTACTAAGTCCGTATGTCAGGTGGTTGAGGAGCATGCAAGTGTCAAAGAGCATCCTCGCAGACGCACACGTCGCGATTTTTAAGACTATAATCTACAGATCTTTACTTCCTGTTTTTTAAGAGTTTTTTTTATCACTTTTTACCTTTTTCCCTTTTTCTTTTCTGTCGCCCGAGATAAAAGTTGACAAACTTCGTAAGTGGTAAGAAACACGTGACAAGAAACACGATTGTCGATAAAAGTGGCGAAGAAGGAAGAAGATAAAAGGTAAAAACAAGAAACAGGAAGCAAATAGCACATCGTAGATTAGCGTTTAAGGGGAACGAATAGTCAGAGTTCTGCATCTAAAGCTGTAATCACACTATGGTCTGTTACGATTCCTGGTTGATGGTTCTATTTTAGCCAATCACGATACAGCTAGTCCGTACGCGCTAAAATAGAACTGTTAAACCATACGGTAAATATAACCGATAATCTGTAGTGTGATTACGGTTTAAGAATCGACGTCTGCGATTCAGAAGACTTTGACTATTTGAATTTTTATGCATTATCGCATCAGGAATCAATCAACTATGTGCTTTTATCTCGAATCTTCAAGACACTAACTTTTGTAGCATCTACCTGGAAGTTCTTCGACCAGCAAGTGCGCTGCACTCGGTATAATGGTAGCATTAGAGACCGCAATGACCAAACTTTATTTTCGAAATCGTGTAATCACCATACTAATACCATAATCATTATATTAATAATACAAATAATAATAAGAACTTTTGAATAAATATCCACTTAAGCTCAAGCGTACTGCGCTTCATGAGCTACGTGCAATAAAAAGAATAAAAGTGCAATTAAAGTCTCAGGTAGAGAATCGTCCGTGTCATGCCTTAGAAAAGATCAATTAATCTTTCTTTTTTCTTTTAAGGAAGTTTCTTTTGCAATGCTAACATACACCGTTTTCCTTTGACGTAACAATCACAGCGGCTTTAATAAAAATTTCATAGTCGAACTAGATGATACCATTACATTTTATTATTGATGTTGTAACGTAGTTTTTAATATTCAACTCTCAACTGCGTTTTGGTCATTGCTATATATCCTATAAATCAATATATTCTTACAGTGCACTGCCATTTTACGGCGAGCACGTGATCAGGCACTTATATATTATAATAATCAACAGGGTCGGCTTAATTTTATGTGTATAATTTTCTCACATATCCGAATTGCAGGAATCACTTATAACGTACAATTTGCCAAGCGGATTCGATAATTGAATTTTTCTTTGCGTATAAGTTCTATTACCAATATTTACGTAATCATATATTATTGAAGAATGATATGTTTATATCTAACGAGAGTACTTCTTAAAATATATGTTAGCAATTTTTTATAATTTTATTTCAGTTGTGAGGTCTTGTGATTTTTTTTCATTTCAGCCGACCCTTAAATTCATAGATATACACATTATTAGCATTCGATTAATATCTAATACAATACTTGTATCGCCTAATATGTAAAATGCTTCATGATAATTGCCACGATGTACACATCTACACACATATGTTTTGTACTTTTATATAAATATCTACGGTAAGTTAAGGGAGATAATATGGTCGGCATATTGCTGAGATAATTAAACCACAATTATTCCGCTTACAGAAGTGCAAGAGCACAGTGTGCAAAGGAATACCAAAGCAAAGAAACACGCGACGAGTAATGTCGGCTCGTTGAAGTTAATTAAACCGTCATCCGTGATCCGTTTATCGTGCATGTCAGTTACGTCGGAAGACCGTGGTTGTGTCTTCACGATGAAATCGATGTCTTTTATGAAAATAATCCGTTCACGGCGTTCCATCATCCTTTGCGAAATAGAATCAGTGTTAAATTGCGATTTGCACTGCAATAAGCTTAAGTTTAGCGAGCTATTACTGGATACAGGGCCTTATGTTACTGCAGATACGATTACTTTGCGAAGAGAGTTATTTTTTAATTTAAAACTGCCCTGCTTAATTAAAATAATTTTCGCCATATTATGTAATTGTATTGTAAATAATACGTTGCTCTGACATATCAACAGATAAGTGATTTAAGTTAATCGTACCTGCTTTATACCATGGATTTTGCGTATAAACTGTATGATCCATATATCTAATAAGTTATTTATATATAACTTGTCAAGCGCCTTTTTATTATAGATTACGTTATTGATATTGCGCTAACATGCGATGAGTAAAACAGAAGAAACTATGTTTTGATGATATTAAACTGTTACAAATTTATTTGGGTTATTATTTATAGTAGAATACTGAAGCAGTATAATATTGATAAACATATTTTAAAACAAATTATTGTCTATATATTGTTTTGTCGTAATGATTCGGCTATTAATAAAATATTATGATAGCATTGTATATGTATGTTTAGTCTTTGTTCATAATAACTGCACTAGGCTTTCGCAATTTTGTCTAATATGCGGGATATATCGTACGCAACATTTATCTTAATCTATTCAACTAAGTTCAAAACTATGATGTCGGTTGTTATATTTTGTTGAACAATAAAATATCTGACAGTAAGATATTTTCAAACATTTTGTGACTAGCACATCACTACATATTTTTTAGATCCTGCAAATGCGATTATTATTCATTCAACTACTATAATTCCTATGATTTTTGGAATCGCAATACAAAAAATTTAGTTTCCCAAATATTACGATTCCAAAAAATGAAAATAGTTTCGCTTAATATTATACGCAATATAAAAGTATTCGTTAGATATTAAGAGTATGTTGTTTTCTTCGCCAGTTATCCATACTTTTTGTTCTTATTTCGACTTTTGTTAAGGTCTTATTTCGACATTGCTACTGTAAAATTATTTTTAATTGATAATTATAGGAAAGGGATATTATATTTTAATTTGTATACTAAACATATATTTCGTATAAAATCAAATTCATTACAAATTAATTTAAAAATATATGCTTGATTGAACATTAGTCTTTGTTAGAGTATTATTTCTAGATAATACGAAACATATGCGACTTAGAGTATATTTCTAAAAAAAATTTTTGGTATATATTTAATATATATACGGAATATTTATATATATATAAAAATGTTTTATAATAAAATAAAATAATATAATCAGGTATACATAATTAAAGAATAATACTATAATACTATTGGATAATGCAATTAAAATGCATGGTCATATTCAAATGGTATAAAAAGATGTCGTTATGATGAAATATGTTTTACTTTTTTTTGCTTTTGCCTAATGTCAGCGTATGATGTTGGGGTTGCTGCGCAAACTGCGCTTTTCGTCTATTGAATTCTAATATATCGTCCTCAAGTTTCTTACGACTGTCCTCTAATTTCTTTTTTTCCTCAGTATGATCTTTCTTTAGCTTGTCGAATTTACTATGTAGCTACATGTATAAAAAAATCAATAAACATTAATACTAATCAATACCTATAATAATAAACACAGTAAAGTTGGAGCTTATATACTTAAAACAAGATTACCTCTTTTTCTGCTTCTTTCAATTCGGCTTCTTTTTCTTTCACTCGGGCGACAAACATTTGGCGCATCTCGTCCTCTTTTTGTTGCAATTCTTGCAAATGAATGGATCTCTTCGCTTCGCACGTTTGTTGAAAACTAACAGGTTTGTTATCGCTATCAACGTCACTAAAACCCATCTGAAAGTCCACGATAAGTTTTAAAAAAAAGATAACTTTTTGTTTTTTCTGATAAAAACAATGAAATATACCTGTTCTAATCTCTTTTTCCGGTAGAGTTCATAATGGCGACAATGCGTTTTTTCGCGCATATCTTCCATATTAGTACCTATTAGCATCTCACGTAGTTTTACAAAGTCACAGTGAGATTCATTTTCGACTATAAAAGGTAATTAATGTTTCAGCTCATTTCTTCAAATATAAATGTAACAAATAAAATTCATAAGCCTTACCTTGAACTGTACCCCATGGATATTGACGAGAACGCATCATTTTATTGCCGACGCGAACGAAATCGGTACTGCCGACGACAGCAAAAGGTACATGAGTGTTCATGGTTGTATTTATATCTGCTACGTTTTCATCATCGATCGGAAACTGATAAATATGTATTCCATTGTTTTGTAACTCGGATATTATTTTACTCTGAAATTCAAATATTATAATAAATAAGATAACACATATGTAAACAAGATAACAAATATGTAAACAAAAATAATTTCAGAGGAATTGTCGCATACCTTAAATTTCTGTAACTCAGTCTTTGATATTGTATCTGCTTTAGCAATAATTGGAATGATGTTAACTTTGGTATCCAGCTTTTTCATGCATACTAGATCAATAGATTTCAAGCTGAAAGTATAAGAATATATGTAAAATTAAAGCAATTTTCATATAATTCACTAATACAGTCTCGGCCATATGCATGAAGTATTCTCAATTTATTCTTTCAAGAGAATTGATAATGATAAGCCAAAGGAAAACTGATAAAATATTAATATTGTTATAAAAATAATACTTTCAATAAAATGGTCTTTTATTTTTTTTCCATTTAGAATATTTAGATATAGAACGTTCACAATAATGTTTGAAAGTACTTCATACTTATGTCAAGGCTGTATGTAATTAGTTTAACATACACACTTACCCATGGCCAGTAGGACATATAAAATATAGGCAAATATGGATGCGACTGTCATGATAGATTGCCAGATTACGTTTAATTTTTAACTCTTCCTGTAAATAAGCTTCAAACTGCGAATCTATATAATCGACGACTGCTTTGAAGCTGTCTTCTTTATTGATTTGATCACCATAACCAACTGTATCAACGATCGTCAGTTTTAGTCTAACATTGCTCTCTTGCAATTCGTAAGTATGTGCCTTAAGTTTTACGGATGGTAAATTATGAGGACTGGGACTAGATTCAAAGCTTGTGTTAAAAAGAGAATCCATAAGTGTAGATTTTCCGAGTCCAGTTTCACCTATCCAAATAAATCAAAACTAGTATATATATATTTGCTACAAACTATTTAACTCAACACCTAATGTAGTAGAATTCATTAAAATGAGGTTAACACTTCGTACCAATGCAGAGAATGTTGAATACAAATCCATTTTGCACTGATTTATTCACCAACTGAGTAGGTAGACTGTCAAATCCAACGTGACCAGACAATTTCAGCGTACGTAGCATACACTCGATCTAATCACAGAAATTATATGTTGGTATTATAATTCACAGAGAAAGAAAGAAAAAGAGAAGAAGCAATAGAAAGAAAAGAGGAAGTTGTATCCATAAATGGATGAAATAGATGTATGAAGGAATGTTCAATTCAATGTACAGTTATAATGCTTGACAGCCAACACCCTTGGCTATGATAACACATGACTCATAGATTTGATTTAAATATTCAATTATACTCGCACACATATCAAACAATATAAAAAAAATGCTCCACAAGAAAAAGGAAGAGAAAGAAGAAAGAGGAAGTATTCGCGGCCAACGAGCAGGGATATATTGATCATTTCGCGAGATAGCAAAGCGTTTTAAACATTGCCCGGGCGGAAATTCATCGAACAAGAATGCATGTCGACAGAACAAGACATGGAATTGGAGGATGACGCGAGACACATGCGAGTCTCGGTCGTTCAACGAAACCGCGTCTGACGCGTCGGGGAGCGGCATGCATGGGCGAGGAAATTCTTGTATCTACCTTAGCACGGTCAATATCCTCCGTCGCCATTTTTCCTATGATTCCGCTGCGAACGCCACGAGACGAGAACGAACACTCGACAGCGACGAAAGACGGAAGCCGCGATCAGCCGTGATCCACGGTGAGCCTCAAATCGGAGTATGCATGCGCCACTGTGCGCCACCGGCTGATACGAAATGCCGCCGGTAGGGCGTAGCACTGGTCTGATGACCAATCAAGGACGCCTTGAAGTTGAACCCGTAAATTGGTCGCTCGGTTTGCGCGTCGCGAATTCCTTCGTTGCGATCTCTCGCCGCGTTAATTGGCGACGAGCAGCAATGCGAGATTAGTCTTTGATTAATTAGCAACGAATCTGGCTGAAATTGAAGTGTGAAATTGAAAAGGAGAAACTTGAATTTTCGAAAGAGGCTTATTCCAAAAACGTGACTGCTGATTTCTCCCGCGCGGCTGTCTTACTTTTTATTTTTATGTAAGTACGTATTTATGCTGATTGCGCTGTTTAATATTATTCCAAATTCTTTTTGAAAGATAAAAAAATCTCAAATTGTACAAACGGCAGTCGATTTCATTATTAACGATTTATTGACGATCGACTTAATCCAGTTTAATCTCTTAATAGTCTTAATTAATTAATTATAATGCTCACAAGGATTATGGTATTAAATTAATCTTTTCAGGGATAATCTTTTAAAGCTAGAAAGCACTTTAATATTCGAGTTTACTTTAATATTGTGAGTGACATAAATATTATTTACAATAAATTGTTTATAGTCTTTAAAGACGCTTTTTATAGCTTTATTATTATTAAATTGACGTTTAATTGAAATTATGATATTATCATTTCAGTTAAACTTAAGATTGTGTTTTTAAGACCGATTTTAGGCACATATATTACATCTGTCATATAATGAGATTTTTTTTTAACAAGAATTACTAGTTATGGACTTTCGAAATTAAAATAATATAGGAAATTATATTATTTCTTTTTTATTTATTACATATTTGTTTGTCATATTGATTTATTTTTGTAATTTATTTTTTATTGCTAAACTGTACTGTATTTTTCTACCAATGCAGTTTAATTTTAATCTCGATTCCACTAACTCCATCTTTTTCTAGTTTTAAGAAATAAAAAAAAATAAATAATAAGTTGAATCAAGATTAAAATTAATCTACATGGTAGAATAATTTTCGGGCATAAATCATAGTAATTAAAAAAAAAAAAAGATTTAATATCAAACATTTTTGTTAAAAGGTCAAAAATAGACTAAAAAAAAGACTAAAAAAAAACTTAAAAAAAAAAAGACTAGACAAGTATGCCAATATCTCTGAAAAGGTTAGTGAACGACAAGGTTAATTAACGTTAACGAGGATCATTACGTGTAAACAGTGTCGAGCATTGACGGACGCTTATAAACTCGTAAATTCCGCGGCGCGTCGACACATGCGCCACGCGTCGTCGTTCGCGCGGCGAGTCCGAGTGCTGAGAGTCGCGCCGTCGCGACGCCGCCGCCGCAGCCGCCGCCGCCGCCGCCGGACGTTTCGCAGCGCCGGCGTAGCTCGCGTAAGCTCGCACGCGCCGTCGGTGTGTGTGTGTCGGTGCCGCCTAGGAACATTCGGGCCGGCGCGGCTGGCAGTGCTCACAACAGTGCCCACTTTCTAACATGGCAGATCAATTTGTGTTGTATTATCATGTGACGGCGAAACGCTCCCGTTGATAGGATCCGTAACCTCCTCAAGGGCCCGCCGTTTAGTGACATCAAGCGGCCCGAGGAGGTGGTGGCGATGGCGATGAACGACAGCCTCAAATTCGCCGTGCTGATCGGCTTGATCGAGGTGGGACAGGTGTCCAATCGGGAGGTCGTCGACACCGTGCTACACCTGGTGAGTGCGAGTCAGAAGCGCCATCGCCGTCGCCGACGGAGCGGAGTGGAGCGGAGCGCGCCCGGCGCCGTCGCCGTCGCCGTCGGACATCGTCGCCGTGGCTTCGCCCCGGGCCGCGCGATTCCCGCCGCTCCCGTCGACGACGCTTTCGATATGACAGCTCGACTGTCAATAACTTCCGGACCTCCGCCTGTCCGCGCGCGCGGAATCCGCTTCTCCGCGAAAAGTCAAACCCTCGACGGAATCTCTCTATCGGACAACCGATATGCTCCGATACGCATTTTCTCCAGGTGATTTTCCTAATTGACTCGATAACGTCCGACTCGTTAGCGACAACGAGTGAGCCTTGGAACTGGACTTATTAACATAACTTCACCTTTGCGCTAAATAATAACTGATGTCTATTTCTCCTTTTCTCAGAGCAATCCACTCAGAGTTTGTATTTGCGCGAAATATATACTTCTCGCGAGTCTCTCTATTCTTAAATAATAGATTTCACAACGACAATGACTGGCTCTTTTATATTAAACTGATGATTATTTATTGTCAGAATAAATAACGTTACGAAATAAACTTGGGAATAACTGACGAAACAGCAGCTGAAGTCAAACCGAGACGCTCTCTCTGTTCGATGTTTGTAGGTGTTATTCCGCCTCGACAGAGAAGGCCATAAGTTTGTATCTGTGCGAGGTCTCTATCTCGCTATTCTCGCGGGTCTCTACTTTTAAATAATATATTTCACAATGACCAACGACTGACTCTTATGTTATACTTGATGATATTATACTTATTATTCACTATCGGAATAAATAACGAAATAAATTGGCAATGACAAAGTACGAGCTCAAGTCAAACCGAGACACTGTTTAATAGTAGATGCTATTCTATCTTGACAGAAGGCCATAGCTCGCGGATCGTGTCGCGCATTTAGCCGCGAAATGTGCCGTACGATAATCGGCGCGCGATAACATCGATCGCCGTAATGGACAAACAGACGCCAGAATCTGACGGCTGTGCCGCGTTGGCCGTAATTACGCAGGTATAATCGTCGAACGTTTGCGAACGATGGATGAGTTGCGGATCGTTCGGCCTACGTTGCGTCGCCCACGACTCCTTTCGTGTACGATGACGTGCATCTGTTGTCGAAGAAAAATGGCTGAGAACGCGGGATTCCCCGGGGAGCAATTTTTTTTTTTTTTTATTATTATCGCATGCTTTATTTGCGCCGCCGCGATCGTGCTTACGTGGATTTTACTACGGTAGTCGCCGGAGTGTGGTTCTTATCATCGCTGATCGTCCCACGCATTCAAGTTCGCGCTGACGACGAATATAGGTGCTTTCCATTCGGTGATACGAGTCAACACGAATGTCATTCTGTTTTTATTATTCATGAAATGCTAAGAAAGATAGAATAATGGCTGTGTTGACTTGTGTCATTAAATGGAAAGTACCTTATATTTATTTTACAGTATTTCACTAGGTGGCGAGAGTTAAGGTGCTTTTTAACCTGTCTTTCTAAGTTATATAACACATTTGTTCTTCTTGCGCTTTTACTCTTTTTATCAATTCCGCTTAATCGTATTCTTAAGCCTTTAAATTCTTATTCTTTTTATCTCACAGTTTTAATATTGTTTTAATCTCAATTCTTTCTATCAAAGTAGGAGATCTCTTAGAGTTGGTTTTTCATTATCCGATTAACTTGTAGTTTAGCCTTAACCTAATTTAACTTAATGATAATGTAAAAATTATGTTTTTCTAGCTATAACTTCAATCATTAAACTAATAGTAACTTAAAAGTTACTATAAAACCGTTAGTTTAGTGATTAATTACGGCTGAAAAAATATAATTTTTACATTGTTATCAGGTTAAGTCTAATCACAAGTTAATTAGAAAATAAAAAACCGGGTCTTGGGGGTTAGCTTTTTATTTTCTGATTAACTTGTGGTTAGATTTAATCTCGTTTAATTTAATGTAAAAATTTTATTTTTTTAGCTGTGGTTAATCACTCAATTGATGGTTTTGTAGTGATAACTTTAATTACTTATTATAAAACCATCAATTTGGTAATATATATTAACTATAGGCTAGAAAAATACTATTTTTACATTATCATTAGGTTAAGTCTAATCACACTTAAGTGAGTTAAGTACACTTTCTATTAAATTAATGTCAAATTATACTTAATTTATTTTTAATTATTTCTATCGCCTCTGCTTGTACACAATATAAAGTGGTTAATTTAACTAAAACATGGAATTAAAATTTTAATTAAAAAAAAATGTATTAAATTTAACTGAAATTTAGCTTATTATTATTTGTATACGTTAATATGGACTTTGAAACTAACCACAGAAATTGGATTGACTTATTACATTTTGACACATATAATGTATAAGTTAAAAATAACAAAACCTTATTTAATTTAGGGGATTGGATTAGCAGTGCTCCTTTGATATTTACAGAAAATGAAAAATCAGGCTTTAATTAATATTTAACTTCTTAACAAAGTATATAGGATGAGGGTCGAGATCAAACCCGAGATCAGATCCGAGATCGGACCAGTAGATTACTAATCATTCGTATTTACATCAAACATCATCGCTGGATGAATATCTCTCGAGGATCGCGGGCGTGATTTTCTTCGCCTGAATTACCTTCTCGTCGCGGTTTATTGCGCGAAATATCTCGATAATGGGCTTCTGGCGTGGATAAATCGGGGTACGCATGAATGCGAATATTTTTCATAGAACACTTGTCCACAAATATCTCATACGTGGCGCCGATTAGCGACCGGCAGCATCAAGACGTATTTAAAATCACTCCGCTATCATCGACACCTCCTCGCCGTTCATCACTCGAGCACGCGTTTCTTCGAACTTATAGGTTCTCTCTCTCGTATATAACTTTTATACTTATATTTAACCCCGTTCGATATAGCAAGTTGAGCGCGTGGAAGGACGCGGATCGTTCGCGTGAAGTGGAACACCTTCCTCTTTGAAGGAGGAAGGTTTGTACCCGCGTACAAAGGCGAGCACAAAAAAAAGTTCGTGCGATTTTTACCGAGTCTCGAAAAAGTTGTGCCTGAAGGGCGCAATCGCCCTAAGTCGGAGTGACTCCCTTTTTTAATTACATCTTTAACAAATCCTGAATCTTCGCGTACAGCTGAACGACATTGGAGAACATTTATCACGCGACATTGTTCGCCATTTGTTCGCTTCGCATAAATACTATTGTTATTGTCGTGATATTGGCTAGGTAATCAAAGTCAGTATTCATTTCGTATACAAAAAGGATAGTTTGGCTGAAGCATTTAAAAATTCAGCTGGACAAATCCAAAAAAATAATTTTATTAGACCATCAAAAAAATTCTGTTGAAAACTTAAATATGATAAGTAATATTATAAAAAGTTTCGATATTCTAGGAATCAATTTGAGATCTGAAAATTTAACTAGGTACAGACTTGAAAATATATAATTTTGTTAAATCGTGAAAATAATTATATAGGGCATTCAAACTAGTTGCTAGAACGTCAAAACTTTTTGCAGCATTGTTCGTCATGCTCGAGATTCCTAATTATTCTGACAAAATTATTTTCAGCCCAATAAAATTATCTTCGAATCTATATCTAGCTAAATTTTTGGATTTTAGCGAAATCGTTTTTCCGAATACGTAAAAGGAGATAATAACACGCACGAATATAGGATGGTAAATTTGCTATATTATATATGTTTCATATATGCGCGCCGCTAATATTTCTGAATTATGCGTGTTACGCGCCTCTCGAACGTACATGTAGCCATTTCCAGTTTGTATACTCATTTCAATTTGTATACTCACAAAACGTTTGTATTTGCGACATTCCATATTGGTTGACTATTCCATATTATCGATTCTGAATATGCTTAACAATTCTCTCTGTCGTTTTCTTCTTTGATATTTTTGCATAAGTAAAATTTAATTTTTTGCAATAACACTTATCAGTTAATGGTGGTCACATTCTTACTACAGTTATTAGTGGCCAACGTAAAGACCGTCTTGAAAGCTAATGCCGAACACGAATTCAAATTCGTTCGACCCTGAATTAGTTAGCACCGTCCGCAGTTGTACAATATACTGTTGCATAAGCTGCGGCATTTAATCCTATGGCTCCGAGCTGCTCGTACGGCCGAGCGAAATGCAGTTTGCGAACATACTGAGTTATTACACGAGGAACGTTCAAAAAAATTATAGAATGTTCATTCGATAAATAAATAATTTACTGTTGTTTGTGTAACGATAAAACGTATTTCCTATACAATTGTTTTTTTTCCCCTTTATAATTGCATTAATGCAGTAATCGGTTTGCAAAATTCTACTTCAATTATAAGAGCTTCGCGTTATGATAATTTTTTAACAATTGGATCATTCGAATAATGTTTATATCACTTGCATTATTATAGAAACAATTTGTTATATGAATATGATATTTCAAGCGAATGTAGCATGATCGAGATTAAATGTTAGTGTTCACAAAAGTTCAACGTTTCAGGTTTTTCATGTTAAATTATGTAAATGCTTCTGAATTAATTTTTTAAATCTAATTTTTAAAAGCTTGCAATGATTTTAAATTTGAGAATTAATCTTTTTTCAAAGGCTACAAAGTTTTCCTTTGTAGCCTTTCGTAGCACAACTAACATAACATTTCAATGGCCTTGTAACATGCATGTGCAAATGTTATCGTGAGATTAGACGAGTAATATTTAGACTGGTCTGTATTTTAGATAATTTTATCGTTGAGACATGTAGGTAATGCTTATTATTTTCAATTATACTTGTGTAAGATGCACATACATATTCAGTTTACATGACTAAGAGAAAAAACGATTGCAATTATCAAAATTTAACTTGACTGAAAGAATGTATCAATTAAATTTTAATAAATATTGTATTTGTTTATAGTATTAACAAATATTTACTAAATGTAAAACGTATATTTATTTGATACAAGAATAACCATTA